GTGTTTTCATGTCTGTGCACAGCCCTGCACAGACCACCATGAGGCTTACATAGTGGCTGATGGGAATTACTCAAGAAAAGAGAAGAGAAGGGAAAGAGTCTCAAATGCTTGTACAACAAAAACAATCATGAGTCTTTGGATATTTTTAGTCAGAGTTTATGTTCACCTGAGGCTGTTTCTAGAACATAATCATAAGAGTAGAAAATATCACAACAATGATTTATGGAAATTAATGATTGACTATTTAATATTTATGAGTGCTTATTCTTTAATCGCATACTATACTGTAGCTATAAGATTAAGTGATGAATTTTAAAGAGACTATTAAAGCAAGCACAATTCTATTCAGAGCAAAAAGCTTCCCCACCTGGAGCCGTCCACCGCTCTTTCTCTGATGGACTTGTGTTTTCTCACATTACACTCCATAAAGAGCAAGGCAGGGTGTGTAGAGCTGCTGGCTGCAGGACATTTCCTCACATTAAGATGTTGAGAGCTGTAATGTTTCATCTGCAGCTCCTTACATGGCATCTTTGCACTTTGCAGACAGACAATAGATCACAGTATACTTGTTTACTTGTTTCAACCTGAGTTCTAAATTGTATTCTCATTCATCATTTGCATTGCGTCAGTCCCTTAAATCTCTATTTCACTATTCTGCCAAATGCATGTCATATCATGGCATGTCAACAACTCTTGAATTTGCTGATTCTCTGGCTTTGCTTTCAGATCTGCTACCTTACAGAAATAAGCAACTGTATTTTTCTTTCCGGACAGTATTCTTTATTAGGTTGCCACATGTTAGGATAACCCCCGCCCCAGACAACTGCCACTCCCATGGTGCTTGAGCCCTCAGCTGTTCCCAGACATCATGCAGGCCACCCGCTGGGCTTTTATAATAGGGGCTGTGTCCCGCTGAAGCACTAGAGCTTGATGGTCAAAAGGTTAAGGCCCCGATATACTAATGACGAAGTTCTTTTTGTTTCAAAAGAAGTTTGAAATACCTGAGCAGCAGTATACTTTTAGTGACCAATGGTAGCTATGGAAAGTTCGCTTTGGCAAGCTGTTTTGAACTCCTGAAAAAAACTATAAACAAACTTAGTTTTGGCCCAGATTTTGTTCGAAATGATGCTACACCAGTTCTTCTAAAAATAAAAAACCTGACATCTTAAAAAAAACATGACATTAAGCTTTAAAATCTGAAATTTTAAGTTTTGTTTTGTTGTCTCTATATTATTTTGCCTATTATCTGTATATTTTCCAGCAAATATTCAAAATAAAAAAAACAATTATTTTTAATTATTAGCCTATTATATTTTTATGAATTAAGAAAATGTTAGTTATAATAAGAAATACATATACTGCCATTCAGTTTTTAAAAATTCACCAAGGCTGCATTCATTAGATCAAAAGATATTATTTTAATATCAATGTAATATATTCTAATATGCTGATTGGGTGCTCAAGAAACATTTCTTATTTTTATAAATGTTGAAAACAGTTGTACTGCTTAATATCTTTGTGAAAATCTTGATACTTTTTTCGGGATTGTTTGATGAATAAAAAGTTCAAAAGAACAGGTTGAAATAAAAATCTTTTGTAACATTATTAATGTATGCGAAATGTTCATATAATTATTTTGTGATAAAGTATATATTCGAAGCTATATTTGATTTTTTGAAATTGATTGCTGTTTATGATTGAGGACTCAAGCTCTAACTCCCCTGTACTTAAACATGAATCAGTAATAAAACTGACACAAAGGTGGAGATGGCGTGGTGAAGGGATGCCTGAAGAATTGTCACTGGAGTGAGTTATGCAGCCATTTATGCATGCTTATTCATGCATCGTGACTGGCAGGATTAGATAAACATGCTACTCCCAAACCTTTGTTTAAAACTCCTAGAAACTACAATTAGCTTGTGATTAATAGTAGTTCAAAATGAGTTTCAAATGATATGAAACACAAATATTTTGTTTCAAGCAACCCAGCGAGGGGTGTTAGCAGTACTGTATAATCTATATTCACTTATACACACAAGATGTACATGCACATAAACACACAGTTAGTCACATCTGTAACCAAGCAGCCCTAAATGTTCAGGAAATACTTAACATGACTCACTGGGAATTTCACATTTTCCAAACCCTAAGCAGGGCCACATGTATTAAATTCCTCCCTTTAGCACACAGAGCTGCAAAAATATCTCCAACTGAGCAAAACAGAGATAATATTCTGCCTTCCAGAAGAAAGAAAGTGAGTGTGTTTATGTGTATGATGGGGGTAGGGGATTGGGAAAGGGGCACAGAGAAGGAGAACATACAGTACAAACCCTGTGTAATTGTGGCTCTTAAACTAGATGTTCCTGTTTCCATGAGTTATATGCTCATTAACAAATATGTCGAAAATACTAGGTTTCACTTTTGGATGAGTGTGAGCCATGTGTTTTCCATAAAGCAGGCAAGGTGATCTAGCTGAAAAACTCTGGCAAGCAAAGTACTTAAAGACCAAAGGATAAGAGAGGAAAGGGGAAAGAGAACAGTGTTTTCACAAAAAAGCTACAGGGAGGTTTTTTTTTTTTTACAGCCTGAGAAAACAGACACCTGTACTTAAAGAAATAAGCAAAGTTTTTGTTTTTAAAAGAGGTATTTATGCATATTGCAACAAAACATAAGAATGGCGACTGACCACTCTATTTCCTCATCAGTGCCTCATTTACGATATGCTCTAAAGTTACATGTACTTTTATGTGGCAAACAATATTTATATATATTAAAGGCACAATATGTAAGTTTTCGCCGATAGAGGGCGCGTATTCAAAACTAACAAAGAAACAAATGCGAAGTTTGATGATGCCGTGACTGAGTGTGGAGTCATGGGAGTTGTTGTCTTCATCCCCACAGCCGATGTAATCCGACGGGACTCGGCAGAAATCATGTTCATGGATGAGCTAATGATTTATTAACGTCGTAGTAAGAAGCAGGGTGAGGCTGAAAGCCGTCGAAGCGAAACAAGGCCGCTGAACGAGCGTGACACACGGCTCGAAAGCAGCGGAGCTTCTATTATGCCACAGTTGACCGCTTCCGCTCCTTCCGGTTGCGAGTATGTGGGGTAAAGCAGCACTGTTTTATCATTCTAGATACATTTGAAAGTTCTGTTATAATGCTACGCTGTGCGGTCATCACCTGTCTAATAAAACACATAACATATTAAAGCGTCTTTGGTGTTTCCATGTTTTCTACAAAACAAAACCGGAAATCGAGGGGTTATGACGTCATTGGCAGGCGACACAATGACACTATGGACACGGTCCGTGTCACTAGTTAAAATTGCTTATTTCTCTGGATTTAAACATTCTTCAAAACATTTGGGATAATGTAAGTACACAAGTCAGCAAAATATATAACTGTTCTAGTGGTTTTTGGATATTTTAATAAAAAAATCTTACATATTGTGCCTTTAATTTGAAAATATTAGAGAATATTTTTATTCTGTATATTTTTCATTGAATGTTGCATTCAAAAAAATACCAGCTGATAGCTGGTAAACAATGGCCTACATGACTGAACTATGTCAAGCCAACCTTGGTGGTGCCATATTTAAATCAGCACAACTTGCAATAACAATAATAATAAGCACAATGTTTACATTTGCAAGGCATTAAAAGTCCTATAGAAAAAAAGTCATAAAAATGACAAAAAGCTGAATAAACTATTCCTTTAAATAGTTTTTGTTGACACTTCAGCTATAGATAAGAGATTTCTCTCTTGAAATCCGCACCTCAGTAAGGTCCTATAATAGCTTTGACTGAACGGGAGAATTGTTTACCCACTTGTTAACCTCTGAGCCTTGACAGGCACAAGGCCTTCCTGAATAAACAAAATGCTTTTAACAGTCGCCATCAGAAACAGCCCACTTGTGCATCTGTAAGAGTCCTTGACACTAACTTCTGACCTCACAAATGTCCAGGTGAACCATCCAATCAGTTTTCCATGGAAGTCAACTGATCTGTAGGTTTGTATTTGGAAAATCACTTGTCATCAATCACTAGGAAGAAACTGAACCACCTATACTGTTGTGGAAACTAAAGTGCAAAACTTTTAAACCTTCTACACAGACACAAAACCATCAGCTAGTACTAAAATTAGCATTTATTCTGTTATGTGGTTCAACTGACTTCCTTTGCGGGTGAAATAACAAAATTCATTTGGGTGCGAGTCACTGCTGGGTCCACTGCTCCTCACCAATACAGTTATCCAGTGAGCTAAATATTTATTGAGCAAAAGTTCTCTTTCTTTATTTTTATAATTTTATTTCCTTTAACACACATACTGTATAAATGTAATAAAATGGATATTTGTGCCACTTAAAAACAAAGTAAATAAAAAATATGCAATAGGAATCACTGGGCAAGAGCAGCATCTGTGTTTAACACTACTGTGTTTATTCTTAGCGGCAGTGTGCCTGTTCACTCACTGAAAATACTGGAACTAGTGATGCAAAAAACGGAAACTGAAAACATATTTTCGGTAATTAAATTTCGGTACTAGGTGATAAATTAAACAAGTCCTAGTAAAGTTCTTTGGCAACGAGCTGCCTCTCAATATTTCAGCTGAAGAAATTTTACATATTGCTATTCACTTCATTTATAGTCTAAATGAAGTTTGACAATGATTTCAGCACCCAAAAACCATTTAGCCGAAACTGAAAATCTTTTTTTTTTTTCAGTTGCCAAAATTTCAGTGCATTGCTAATTAGAACTGCTTATAAAACATGTTTGCCACCCAGAGGAAAAACTGAGAACACTCAGTTAATCCTGGTTAAAGAAATGCATTCAAATTATTCATACAAGACTTTGTTAAAGTCATGCCACTTTATGTGACCACATATAGCGGTAGGTTTTCAGACTGGGATGAGAGACTGAGGAATGAGAGATGGAAAATAAATGAGGCTCAATGAGAAAAGAGGATAATAATGGGAAATCGAGAAACTGATCTCTTACTGATGTAGAAGGTGCTGGGTGCTTCTGTGTCCTCATACTTCAGGTCCAGAAGACTGCTTGTTTTATTGTCATGACGAAGCCAGAGTGAAACCCCCAAGATTACACAACCAGCCAGCTATAAAAAAAAAAAACACAGAGAGAAAGAAAAGCTTTAAAACATTTGGTCGTACTGTTATTAATGGCACAAACGAAACCAGCAAGTTTTTAAGCTTTCACATATTTCAACACATTTCTTCCTCATCTCGACTCTTAAAGTGGTGTGTGGATGCATTTTGTCAGTCTCTTTGCGTCTATTTCTTGTAGTCTGCTTATTTTCCATTCAACAAAGAGAAAGAGAGACACATTCTGTGAGGTGGGGGAGAGAGGACTCTTGTTACAGACCCCATCTAGAGGCCCACAGAGCCGAGGGTTAAGAATATCAAAACATCACTGTACGCCACAGCAGTATGGTTGAGTTCGCTTTTGTCTTCACATGGCTCACAGTGATGAGAATTCAGCTGAGTGAGGCTCATAAACACATGGTACATTCACGAGAGAGGGTGCTCACAGATTCTTGTAGCTAGGGGGAGTGAAAGATGGGAAAAGAAAAGAGGGCGTAGGCAGCTGAGAAGACCATTTAAAGTAGTGCTACAATGTGTGGTATTGTATGCACGAGCGGCTAAGAAGTGGGAAAGTTTGGGGTGGGGGAGGGGCGGCCGCGTGACAAGCAGCAGGGTTATTTGGCTTTATTTATACCGCTTTATTTACAGTGAAATCACTGTCAAATCAGACAAGAGCTGGGCCCTGTGAGAGCAGCTGGATCTCGTCAGGAATGCGTAGGCTGTGTGGAGAAATGCAGTGCGCAGATAAAGAGCACTAGTGACCACAAAGAACCTGGTTGGTGGGTGCCGTTAGAAGCAAGAGATCCGGCTACACCGCACAGGGGAGAGTACCGGGAATGTGAGACAGAGCAAAGAACATTAAAATGCTGGGATGGGCAAAACGCTCAGCTCTGGCTGTGAAAACAAAGAACTCGTACTTCCTTCCTTTCTATTCTCTCGTTCTGTTCCCCCTTTCAATCAAGAATCCAACACTCACACTAGTTCTACAGTAGGTTACATCTGAGAACAGCTGCATCGCCACAGCTATTCACCCCAGGTCAAATTAAAAGGCATTAGTTGGTGCAGTTCTTACACATTACATTCCCCATAAAGGATCACAAAGGGAAGCACTGAGCACTTTCTCTTCTGTCTTAAATGGTTTTTCCCATGGTTATTGGTCTTTCACACCTGTTCATGTAAAAAGAAACCACATCCCTCCTTTACAAAATCAAGACAGATAATTTTGAGCATTTATAACAATTGTTATCAGTAGGGATGGGTATCGTTAAGGTTTTAACGGTATTACTACTCTTACAGAGTCTGCTTATCGATCCGGTACTTTAACGGTATTCTTATCTGTACTTTTTGTATATATATATATATATATATATATAAAACATTGCTTTATATTCTGAAATGTAAAATAAATATTTAATGAAATTAATATAGAACATCAATTTGTAAATGCACCAGTGTGCAGGCATTTTAGTGTTTTATATACATAAGAACATGTACAAAGAAATAAAGTAAAACAAACTGACAAATACAATAAAACAAAGATACAAATTAAATAAACAGTGCTTTAATTTTTCCATGAAGGTCTACTAACATTACTGTTCAGGTAAGTAATATAGCCTACAAAAGAAACCTAATAAAGTAATCAATTGTAAATGAACTGCATAGTTCTCACTGTATGAATTGATAGATCAATGCTTATTAAAGCTAACGTTATTCAGATTGAGAGCTGTGAGTGATTTTCTCTTTGCATTTTGTTGTTTGATTAACTTTGATGGCCCAAGCGCCAGTCACTGCTGTCACTTTAAGACAATATATATTGACACACATCGGATTTTCTCCCAACTCTTCATGACACGTCCACTTAAGACATAAACTCTGTTTAAGTGAACACTCTCCAAGCTGGCCATTTTGACATATTTTGTGAGTATTTGATCGCTTGGACGTGCACCCAAAGCCCAAAGTGTAATTTGCTTGTCTAGTTGCGGTCCGTACTGGAGCGCACGCACACAATTCAGTCTGGGAAACTGTCTGCAGATTATTGTGCTTTCAACGTTTTATTATCAAATATGGCCCGCAATTTAGCAACAGTAAAGACGGCATTTTACAACAATCACCGATTGTGCTGATTCTGACGTTACGTTTGGCTTTTTAGGGAGGAACGAATGCGCACCGCAGTTAAGGGAAGGAATTTGCGCTAGACGAAACGCGGCTAGTTTTTAATAGTTTTACCTCATATCGTCTTTTTTATAATCCTTAGAAGCCAAAATCTAAATAAAAAATTAAATTAGCTTAATATCACAGCCGCAGGCCTTAAGTCTAAGCAGACGTTTGAATGTTTAGTTCTCTCCTCTATCATAATTAAACAGGGCTTTCATGTTGTGAGCGCTGTAGCTCCTCCGCATGAGCGTTATCTCACTTCTGAATTGCAAATAGCAAAAATGCAGCATAGACAAATATCTGAATATTATTACATATAAAAACAGCTGGCGACTCTGGTGAAATTGAATTTCCAAGATAATGTCTATATAGCAATAACAAATGTATGTGTGTTTTCATAATTTCTCCAGGACCGACGGCAGAATTATTAACATCAGAGCTTAGCGATACTCCGGTCTTTCATAATTTAGCCCTGGGGCCCATTTAATATCGAGTTTCGGTACCCATCCCTAGTTATCAGTACTGAAATGAAAACTATTATTTGAATGGACAAATACATACAAAAGTATGACAAAATAATAATTATACGAAAAACTCCATCTTACTTTCACCTCCAACTTAGCATGCTGGATATTGTGTGAGGCTGTTTATCCATAAACAATTTCTGAAAAAGGAACTTTCTCTCCAGCTAAACACAGGGGAGAAAACCCTTTTCCACAGAGGGTAAAAGAGTGAGAGAAAGAGTTCCTTCCATTTCTCTTTCTGTCTTTCTCACTCTCTCCAAAGGCCAGATAGACCCATTCCAGAGCTCAGGCAGCCTGCTGCTTAGCAACTGAGTACACAGAGGGCCAGCCAAAGGGAGAGGTTTCGAAATGATGGTTCTTGGAGAAGCTCTGTCACTTCAAGCAACCTGTCCTCAGTGGATTCCACATTACATACATTCACTCATAATGAGTTCGGGAATATCTGAGTAAACAGATTCCCCTAAACACCAGAGTTTCCAGTTGACCAGAGGTGTCAGGGGGAGTATAAGCCATAATTTTGTGGGGCGATCTGGGGGCATTCTCCCTTCTCAGTTTCCATACTTTAACTGAATTTATGTAGGAAAAAGCAGGAAATGCAATTTATTTTGCAGAGCCAAACACAAGGATTAATTTAATAATAATCTATTTGTCATACAGGATATTTGGCCCTATTACAAGCTATTACAGGCAATAATATGGAAATCCATGCTATAATGCTTTTAAATAAAAGCTGAGTATGCTCATAAAAACTTTTACTGGTTGAATTACAACTTTTTTTTGTGTCATTTTATTATGAATTTTAAAAACAATAAATGGCCTATTTATACAGAAAAGGCATGGACAGTGACTAATCAATCATTGCAGTACTGACAATCACAAAATGCTTGGTGATTAAAGAATACAGGTTAAAACTGTTGTATGAACAGCAAGCTAAAAAAACACTTCAGCAGAGTGCAAATAGCTAATCCTAAATTGGCAAGAAACTGCAATTGCGATCTTTTATTTTCTATTGTGACTTTTATCTAAGTGAAACTGCTTCTCGAACGAGAAAAAAAATGGATGGGATTTGATTTTATCAACTGGGAAATGATTGGATAGTTTGCTAACTACTTAAATTATTTCATGTGAGTGACAGGTTCTTGGAGTGAAATGATTGGACAACCTTACTGCCCAGACCTCATGGCAATGTACATAATGTTGTTGCGAGAAGACGGGCACATTAATGTTTTTGACTAAAATTAAGAGGGCACATGATTTTTCTGAGAAAAAAAATTATAACAGATGTGCACAGATAAATTATTTATAATACACTGCATTCCATTAAAAATGTCAATTTTTATTTTATGGTCACTTTAAGACTTTAAGATAAACACTTTTGCTTTTTGTACTCAACTATTTAATTAATTTAACTATTTAATTATGAACGGCACACTCACTTAGAAAAAGTATGTAACGTTTCATATTATTACACAAAATCTAATGTCATTAAAAGCAGAAACTACAGAGTGTGATTGACAACACAACTAGGAAGTGACTGACTCAAGACAATACCAAAAGAGTAGTAAGGGAAGGGAAGTAGTCAGCGTGCAGATATACATTTACATTTATGCTTTTGGAAGACATTTTTCCAAAGTGACTTACTTTACAATTAGGATGTACATTTTAACTCGCTGAGAATCAAACCCGTGGCTTTGGTGTTGCTCTAGTGTTTGAGTTACCCACTAAGATGATCATTATCACCACAAACATGCACAAAAAAGGGGATTTACTGGTTTAAACTTGATTACATGATAAAACCGAAGTCTATCAGCTGTAGCACATGTTTTCAGGGAACACAAGAACATAAGATTTTTTTTTAAACTAATTACATGTCAGTGATCAAGATCTCATGCTTTAATGATCTGCAGTCTGGTCAACAGTGTTTTTTTTATTTTATTTTACCCAAGTGTTTCACTGGATTTCTGCAGAGCAAAACATCAATATTTTGAGAATTACCTTCCTGATAGGGAAGGAAGTGTGACCCTGAGGGAAAGAATAATAGAAGACAGTAACAAGGTTTGTGCACATACACAAATATAATTATTCTGAATTATAATAATAGCCTAATTAGAAGTAATGAGTAGGCAATTATTTCAGAACAACAGACACTTCCTCAAATGCATGAGGCTGATTGCTGAAATTTGCAAGTATGTACTGTATTACCAGCAACAGCAAGTCCATCCCCCCACCCCCCTTGAAGGTCAAGTTAATTTTATTTTCTCCATTTGAGCATTTGACCGTTTCATTTGAGTAAAACTATCCTCATATCATATAAACGCTGGAATGTAAAGGTATTCATGGCAACCTGTCAAAATAAAAGTTTGGTTTAATTTGAAGACATTGTGGCAGAAGTATATTACTATTGTTCAGTAGAATGTTTGTAATAGGCTACTACTACTACTAAAATTATTAAAACCTTATTTTTAAGTTATAATCATACAATATTGCTTCAATGTTTTAATTGTAATATTAAATCCTCTTTATTTTCCAAAAATAAAATTTATTAAATTTTCATTAATTAAAAGATAAATTCAATTACTGTTTTAAAATGTAAATACACGACACAGAATTTCTGAGGAAATTGCCATGGATAGAGTATACGAAAAATATTTTGCACCATGTTGCTTAATATTGCGAATGTTGCGAAATTAGCATCCGCCCTCCCACACACACTTATCCTTATCTCACACACACAGTTATCAGCCTGTGTAAGGGTCTTAAAATCAGAGCCCCCTTCTCATACTTCTCCCTTCTGTTGCCAGCAGTCAGGTGCGGCTTCTATTTTTGACCCATGACCCAGTGTGAGGTGGTTGTAGAATACTTGGCATGTCAATGCATGAGGCTCAGAAGTAGAAACCCCACACCCATTCTCCATTAACCACAATGTACTGTCAAACTCATCATATGGGCTTGGCAATTGACTCTTAGATCTAACACCCTCTTTATAGGTATTTTTCCACCACCATCTCTTTGGGTCAGTTCTCAAAGCAAAATTCCTCAAGGTAGGAAGCCATCGTGCTGTTTTGCCATGTTCATTCACACATAAGGGGTTTCACCACCTGTTGGGCCTGTAGAGAAATCAGCATGGGTGTTAAACCCATTAGCCAGCGGGAAAATATGCCTCTGCTTTATGTTGAAGTTGGTTTCTTGTTTCATCACAAGGTTCATATATTGGCCGTTCACATCGTGAACAATAAGTACAAAGATAACTGTATTTGCATACACACCAAGGGACAATCTGTTTATTCTAATGCACACTGTTGATAGGTTGTCCACTGCTTTAAATGCTCAAGCTCTTTAAAGGCAGGTGGACTCATGGCTGTCAATGTTTTTTATCATTTATCAGCTGGGAAAAATAGTTCTGAAAGTGATTGGAACAATTTCGATCCTCTGTGCCGTTATCGTTATAGCTGTGGTTTTGATTATTATGAGCGTGAGCTTCAGTTCTGTCAGGACCACTATCGTCAGAATGATAGATACTTAGCATAAAGTTTGGTTTGGCGGTATGGTTCTGTTCTGGGCAAAAAACCTCCCTGCCCATCCATGCAGCCTGTCATGAATGAGCAGGGAGAGCAGCAATAATAACCCCCCTAGGGTTAACAGAACAGAACAATGCAGATATCATTAATGTACTCAATGATATTTAAGTGTAACACTTTATTCAAGATAAAGGAGTCTGATTAGCAAGGAATATCAGAAAGCTAAGTCCTGACTGTGGCGAAAGGTGGAGCTGGGGATGGAGGAGGGTAATTTGCTCCGAAGCAAGCTAAAAAGCTGCTGAATAATACTGAATACAGCTTATATAGGAATGCCGCGATAGGTGTCGTATTCCTATAGGTAGATGTGATCAGCTGAGAATCAGCTGATGCAAGCTTGACTCACGTGACCTGCCAGAACTAACGCTAAAGCTTAATTTATGTTGTCTGCTGCTTTAAATGCTCTAGGACTTTAATATTGGGTGGGGAAAAAACATTATGAAAGTTATTCCAGCGATATTGTTCCACTGTGTTGTTACTGTTAAAGCTGTGGAGTGGACTTAGCAAATCTTATAGAATTAGAACAATTATTAAAACTTTATGGACATAAGCTGCGTCTGAAATCGCAAACTTTGAGTACTTTGAGGGGTTTGAGTAATAAATAATCAATATCTAACCTGTTGAAAAAATATTTATTTAATGTGTCCATGTTAGATTTAATCTGCAGCAACACTATGAACTTTCATAAAGATACGTTTGGTCATTAACTTTAAATGCATCATTATGTAAACATATGAGCAGAGTTATCGGCATGATAGACCCGCGACTGGCAGATCAACGTGCCACTTCATTTCTCTCCAATTCGGTAGGAAATTAAATTAAACGAAATATGGATAATGTTAACTTTGACAAGATGATTGACAGGGCAGTTTAAATGGTGACAGGATGCACGTAACTAAGCAACACAGCGTCCATAGGCCTATGTCCCAAAGCTTGCCTACTATTCTGCTACATACTCAAAAGTATGTACTTTTTCTAATTAGTGTATGTCTCTACCTTGTGGCTGTGAAGGAAACAGAGCTTCAGAGATTTTAAACAGAAAAAGTAAAGCTGGGAGCGCTGTACCTTTTCGTAAGGAGCAAGACAAACTGTTTTATTTTCTCACGTGAAATAAGTAACACTAACTCTCTTAACAATGCCATTAATAGTATATATATATTGATAATATACAAAGTGCCACAGTTAATTGTAAATATCTCCAGCAAGAAGCAATGTTTTACGCATATAAAAGAACATTTTGTGGAGACTATTTACATGTAAAATATTAATAAAGTAATTAATGCATCTTTTATCATCATGAAATTTGGCAACTGTGTAACTTACTGCGCTGTCAAACGACTTTCTGCCGCTAGATGTCACTAATATTTTCGATATAGCATCAGTTAACATAGTGACCAGTAGGAAGGTTACTAAATATTGCGTTTATTATGAATAGTTATATTATAGTATGTTCATATAATTATTTTTATATAATAAATTAATAGACCCGCGACTGGCAGATCAACGTGCCACTTCATTTCTCTCCAATTCGGTAGGAAATTAAATTAAACGAAATATGGATAATGTTAACTTTGACAAGATGATTGACAGGGCAGTTTAAATGGTGACAGGATGCACGTAACTAAGCAACACAGCGTCCATAGGCCTATGTCCCAAAGCTTGCCTACTATTCTGCTACATACTCAAAAGTATGTACTTTTTCTTCACAAAATGAGTCCATACTTTTAGGGCATAGTATATGTAGGCGAATTGGGACGCAGCATAGTCTTTGGGATTGGTCATGTGACAGTAACAACATGGCGGATATAGTACGTCCAAATTTCATTCATACTACCCATATTCATGCTATATAGAACATACTTTTTTAACGGCTGTGAAGTAAATTCTAGCCTACACGATTTCGGACACGCCGATAGTTATCATTCTTGGTGTGAACGGGCTTAAACACTGCAACTATATTGCTCATGATGCACTTTCTGGGAAGAAAAGTTTAGTTTAAGCACTTATCATTTAGCAATCATCCTGTGATACTTTCATACATAATTATCAATGCAGTTACACAATGCTCGTTTTATTTCTTTGGTATAGAAATCACCTACAAAGAGACTAATTTGTCAAATGAAAATTGAGACCTGATTAATCAACCAGATTTTGAGAAGACACTGTAAATGCTTGACTAACCATTTAGAAAGTGCTGTAGATAAGATATAAACTGGAGCATTGTACACTTCTAAAGAAATCCATCATGATTGATATCTAGATAGACTGTTTAGTAAGAGTAACCTTAAATGCCTAAAAGGAAATGAGCCAGAAAACCCACTTTGAAATTAAAGAAGGAACGTGACTAGTATGACTGGCATGATGAAATAAAACTCTCAACAGGGTTTGGCTGGGTGCAATATTGTATTGCCAAGTTGCCATTCACTTTTCCAGGTTCTATTCCAAACTACAGCGAGTGGGAGGGACCAGACAACGCAAATTTTATTACTGCGCTATTTTGTTACTTCATTGTGTCGCCGAGTGTGAAATGCTAAAGCATTAGTAGTAGCGAAGTTTTGTGAAATTAAAAACATAAGGAAAAGAAAATAGTAAGTTTGACGGGTGTAATAAACATGAGACTAGCCTTTGTGGGGAGTATTAATAGACGGGAGCTGTAATGAAATCCTCCTCGCCCCTCGTCCGTTATTTTCGCAGTGAGGTCGAAAAAAGCTGGGCGCCGTTTTTATCGTTTTGTCTCAGCGATTCTATAATAGTATCTTCCACAGAAAACGTCTATATTTAAAACAATTTCATCTGCCGTCAATTAGTCATAACAGAAGTTACAGGGCCATCTTCGTTTCAGTCCTCAGCGGCGCAGGTTCAATTCCTGTTCATAACGGCTGAAAACATCAAGGCTAAACAATCTTCTTAGTACAGAAAACCAATGGCGGGTTCTCAGGCCACACGCAGGACCATCGCACAAAATGAATGCCCACTTACCCAGAAGATGAAATTGAAGAAGAAAAGCAAGTATTTGATGCATTTCGTGCAGCCTTCCACGCTCATGGTGTCGGTTTCTGGAGGATGTTTTTAAACCCGGTTAAAGAAGTGTCTCGATGAAGCAGCCGTTATGCAGCGCTCGCGCAGACTGAACTCCAATCTCCGTCTGTGTCTGTGCTGCTGCTGCTGCTGCTGCTTGGATTCAGTCGACTTGAAAAAAAAATCGGGCAACACCCAGTTTCCTCCCCTTAGAGAGTACTCCTAAACACGGCCGAATAACAGCATAGAGACCGTACAAAGCTAATTAATTAAGATTACATACTCGTTCAAAAATAAATTAGCTGCCTAACTCACACATAGGCTATATATTTTGATCTGTCTCATTATTTACAATACAGCTCAAAAGAACTCTCTCTCATCCTCTGACACCGCTTATAAATTCGTATTGGGTCGTTAAAAAATAACTAGGCTATATCGATGTCCTGTGTTGCAGGTGGGATTGAAAATATAAACAATGGAAAGGGTAAAAATGAGCCTTTAATAGCCATGTTTACTTGCCTTTTATTCATGCAGAATTAGTGTATGTCTCTACCTTGTGGCTGTGAAGGAAACAGAGCTTCAGAGATTTTAAACAGAAAAAGTAAAGCTGGGAGCGCTGTACCTTTTCGTAAGGAGCAAGACAAACTGTTTTATTTTCTCACGTGAAATAAGTAACACTAACTCTCTTAACAATGCCATTAATAGTATATATATATTGATAATATACAAAGTGCCACAGTTAATTGTAAATATCTCCAGCAAGAAGCAATGTTTTACGCATATAAAAGAACATTTTGTGGAGACTATTTACATGTAAAATATTAATAAAGTAATTAATGCATCTTTTATCATCATGAAATTTGGCAACTGTGTAACTTACTGCGCTGTCAAACGACTTTCTGCCGCTAGATGTCACTAATATTTTCGATATAGCATCAGTTAACATAGTGACCAGTAGGAAGGTTACTAAATATTGCGTTTATTATGAATAGTTATATTATAGTATGTTCATATAATTATTTTTATATAATAAATTCATCTATTATATAATTTCAGAGCTCTTTTCATTTTGACATCCTACTTGATCCAACGCTGAAATCGTACTTCATTCCTTTTTTATTATGACATAATAATAAAGGTTATGATATCAAAACGAAGGTTTGTGATATTAATTCAATTGATATTACAAGCAGTATATGAATGTTGAGGTTGTTGAACATTTTGCCTGTCAATGATAATCCCTACCCTGTATGAGTTAATGGGTTTCTGACAGTGGAGGTGATGCCCATGGGACCATATATCAACAACTCACCAGTGTGAGTGGACATTATCTTTCCTTTGAAGCCTAATTGCTTTTACTCCTCAGCAGAACAGGATAATTTGGGATAAATCCCATTATGTGCTTTCTGAGACGAAGCACATACTGTAATCTGCCTTTAAATTGACAAGAATGACGATTAGAAGAAAAAACAGCAAAACGTGAACTGAAAACAGGCCTGGTCACTATATCACTATATCACTATCACAATAATGTGATTTCCTAATAAGTTAGATCAAATGACTGATTACATAATTATCAGTAGTGACATCTGCACTTTAAAAAATGTTTCATGATTTCAAGTTATTTTGATACTTTCCAAAGATTGCAAGGCCTGGTAATTAATGGTTAGCTCCCAATTGATAGACTGCATTCTGCATATTTATACATAAATATATAGATTCACGCTAATGTTAGGTTTTTAAGAATTTATTTTAGAGTCTTTTTTTACTTATACAAGGGCATTTTCATACAACTTATGTCAAATACTTTAATTAAACATAATTTCAATCTGCAACACGTGGAGACTATTTACATGTAAAATATTAATAAAGTAATTAATGCATCTTGTATCATCATCATGAAATTTGGCAACTGTGTAACTTACTGCGCTGTCAAACGACTTTCTGCCGCTAGATGTCACTAATATTCTCGATATAGCATCAGTTAACATAGTGACCAGTAGGAAGGGTACTAAATATTGCGTTTATTATGAATAGTTATATTATAGTATGTTCATATAATTATTTTTATATAATAAATTCATCTATTATATAATTTCAGAGCTCTTTTCATTTTGACATCCTACTTGATCCAACGCTGAAATCGTACTTCATTCCTTTTTTATTATGACATAATAATAAAGGTTATGATATCAAAACGAAGGTTTGTGATATTAATTCAATTGATATTACAAGCAGTATATGAATGTTGAGGTTGTTGAACATTTTGCCTGTCAATGATAATCCCTACCCTGTATGAGTTAATGGGTTTCTGACAGTGGAGGTGATGCCCATGGGACCATATATCAACAACTCACCAGTGTGAGTGGACATTATCTTTCCTTTGAAGCCTAATTGCTTTTACTCCTCAGCAGAACAGGATAATTTGGGATAAATCCCATTATGTGTTTTCTGAGACAAAGCACATACTGTAATCTGCCTTTAAATTGACAAGAATGACGATTAGAAGAAAAAACAGCAAAACGTGAACTGAAAACAGGCCTGGTCACTATATCACTATATCACTATCACAATAATGTGATTTCCTAATAAGTTAGATCAAATGATTGATTACATAATTATCAGTAGTGACATCTGCACTTTAAAATTTTTTTCATGATTTCAAGTTATTTTGATGCTTTCCAAAGATTGCAAGGCCTGGTAATTAATGGTTAGCTCCCAATTGATAGACTGCATTCTGCATATTTATACATAAATATATAGATTCACGCTAATGTTAAGTTTTTAAGAATTTATTTTAGAGTCTTTTTTTACTTATACAAGGGCATTTTCATACAACTTATGTCAAATACTTTAATTAAACATAATTTCAATCTGCAACAGTTGTTACCAAAATCAAATGAACTTCAAGCACAGTCTGTCTGCAAATAAATAACAAAATAAATGCACTGCTGGAAATATTTTTTAAATAATTTGCCAGTCATTGTCACACATCACAGTACGTTTTGATATAATTGCTGATATATATATATATATATATATATATATATATATATATTGCTTTATTTGTCCCAAAATTTAAATATATCTGGTATGTTCGTTTTTCCCCACCACAAACCCTGATTTCTGACCGTGTCTTACACCTAATATTATTATTTATTCACTGGCCTTTCATTAAAGCAAATAGGCTATCTTTTATATAGGCTATTGAGTGCATATGCGCTCATGCAGTCCTGCAGAAACTGCATATTGAGGGAAAGCATACATGGCGCAGCGCTTTTTCAGCCTTTGTCTTACCAGTAATACTGCACGTATTTCTGAATAGAGCTTTTCGCTGTCTGAAACCATCCCAATATCTGATCTGCACGCATCGACTCATCCACTCAGCAATTGCGCATGCGCGTCGGTTGGCTCTAGAGGAGGCTCATGTTGTCTCTCCGCAGGAATGACGAACCTCGCTCCACACTGGTCGACAGAGACAGCGAAACTGAAACTATTCATTTGGTGGAAATAAAGAGGATACGATCAATCACTTCCGAACAAACACCGGGGGACGTCGCCAAACTGGACATTGTGGAGACAAAAGAAGATTTTTTAAAAGGACCGGTCCTCTCCCACTTCAAAGCTGACGTCTCCTGTATGAGTATAGCTGTATATCCAGTGGCAAAGCATTTTCTAGATGTGATGTCTGTCGTGTTTGTCAACAAACTGCGTGCGATAATGGGCATCTGGACATGCTTTGAAGAAAACGACTGATGCTACATCGAAAAAAACGCGTAAAATGTGACCGTTCCAGTGAACCTCGATCCCTCCACTTTTTCGGATTTGAGGAGGCGTCTACTGGGAATAAGGGGAGTGCATGTGTCTCGTTTTGGAGAGAGGAGGGAGCTGTCCGTTCAGTACCACACACACATCTGCCACCAGCGGTGCACCACAAGCCATCAGCCTCGCACCCTCTCTGGACCTCATGGTGCGGAGCGTAAATTCATGACAACCTCTGCATTCGTTTAACGTCTGCACTTTCTTATTTTCTCTTGGCATCTTGAGGAAATCCCATATTCACCTGACAAGAACATCAAACGCTCATGCAGCGGTTTCCTGCAGTTGAGCTGCCTTTGCGCACCTGTTTTTCTGCGTTTATTCAGTTCACTCTCTTTTTTCCGTTGCCTAACAATTGCGCACATGTATCCTCCGGGTCTTTCAGCGTTGTAATGCCTGGCCCGGGCTCGAGACATGCCTAAGCGACGAGATGGGCCAGGGCGACGAGAAAGACCGTGTTGTGATTAACGTGGGAGGGATTCGACACCAGACCTACCGCAGCACGCTGCGCACTCTCCCCGGCACTCGTTTAGCCTGGCTCGCCGAGCCCGATGCCCACAGTCACTTTGACTATGACGCCCAGATCGACGAGTTTTTCTTTGATCGCCACCCCGGAGTTTTTGCACACATTCTCAATTATTATAGGACTGGCAAGTTGCATTGCCCCGCTGATGTTTGTGGCCCTCTTTATGAGGAAGAGCTGGCCTTCTGGGGCATCGACGAGACAGATGTGGAGCCCTGCTGCTGGATGACATACCGGCAGCACCGGGAGGCCGAAGAGGCACTGGACAGTTTCGGCGGAGGGCCAGCTGAAATGGGCAACGATGATATGGACACAGAAGTTTTGGGTGATCCAGGGGATGGAGACGAGGAACTTGAGATGACTAAACGCCTGGCCCTCGGCGACTCACCTGACGCAAAAGGTGCAGGGTTGTGGCAACGTTGGCAGCGTCGTGTTTGGGCGCTCTTTGAAGATCCATATTCCTCTAAATATGCAAGGGTGAGTGATGAACAAGTTTCAAAGTGGCAACCCCGCTGTTCACTGCTTGTAATATATCCAAACACGTGTTGCTTTGAATTAGAATAGCCTGCCAATACTAAAGTCCAATTGAGCTACTCAAAAAAATATTTATTAAAAATACAATTAATACAAAAAATATAAAAACAATTTATTATAAAATAAAAATTATCTGTACATATCTTTTATAATGAACAACTGTCAAGACAAAAGAAAATGCGGTATTAAAAGGCTGAGATTCTTTGAAAATATATTTTGCCTAAATAGTTTGGCATGATCTTTTCTTTCAAAAATGAACAGTAAACCATATAACCTTGGAAAAA